TGCAGAGGGAAGCGGATACATGCTGCCGTCATTAAATCATTTTGGAGAATGAACTTGCCCGCAAAGGTGGGCAGAAACTTGCGATTTTCATCAACTCATTTCGGAGAAAGAATTTGCCCGTAGAAGCGGGCAGGTAACTTCTGTTCTCAGCAACTCACTTGGAAGCATGAACTAGCCCGCAGCAGCGGGCAGATATTTGCTGCCCTCATCAATTCATTTCGAGGAATGAGCCTGCCYGCAGAGGCGCGCGAATACTTGCCGTTCCCATCGATTTATTTGAGAGAATGAATCTGCCCGCAGCATCGGGTTGTACTTGCTGTTCTCCTGSCCGTAGATGAGGGACAAATACTTGCTGCTATTGGGCACAACCAACCACTCACTCGTTTGCTATTCCGAAGAATGAGCTTGTCCGCCACTGAAGCGGGCCAAATTCTTCTTGATATTGGACATGACCAGCCCGCTAGATCTACAACTTGCTCTTTGTCCAAACCTTGGAGACTGAGTCGTTGATACGGGGGATAATCGGCCGCCCCGAACAGCCTTGAGGGAGAGAGAATTGTTGCCTTCCCGCAGGTAAACCCCTTCTCCACCGTAGCCTTGTTGTTGATTGATACCGGCCGAACACGAGAGCGAGAGATCGAGAGAGAGAAAGAGAGAAAACTCAGTGAGAGAGAGAGAGAGAGAGAGAGGAAACCGTGAAGCCATGCCAATAAGTGAAAAAGAGAGAGCTCTGGCTATATAACTATCCAGGGACTTAGCTGTAATTGCGGCCAGGTTAGTTCAAATCTGAGCTTCTGCGATCGAGGGCATCTTGGAACATGACGGAGAGAGATTAGTGAGAGAGAGGGAAATAAGCGAGGGATGAGAGGTAAGTCTGCTGCTTCATTTACCAAAATCATGAACCTGACCGTTGATCTAGTCCAGGTGCATTTAAAACGTCGAACCAGCAATTTGGTCTGTAGATGTGTGAAGTGAAGCGGGCAGACGGGCTATCTTGAGATGAAGTGAGAAAGGTGAGAGAGGAAGTCTGTGGGAGTGAGTGAATGCCGAGCTAGAGCAACCCAGATATTCCGATTATCAATGCAACGCACCTAGCTGTTGCTGCGGCAAGGGTTATTCGAGCATCACCAGTGAGATAGTGAGAAGGAGAGAGTCGGAGAGAGAGCGGAAAAAGTGAGAGAACGTCAGCCCACAATGGAGAGAGAGTAACCACCGTACTTAAAATTTCATGGATCAGGTTATGAATGAGGTTAGGCTCATGTGAATGAAAACCAGGTCGATTGTGGAGTGGGACTGCGCGGGGAACTGAAGAAATGAGACAGAGATAGAGGGAGAGAGAGTA